CAGCAGCGGAGATGGAGACAATGTTACCGAAGTCAGCGTGAAGGTAAAAAAATTCCCGAATAATCGGGATGTTTGGTGTCTAGTTTGTTCCTAGTGTTCCGTCAGTACCTTCAGTATGAGTAATTTTCACCCTCGCCGCTTCTCTCCATCGATTGCAGTGAAAAATGTTATAAACTTGTGAAGACTTGGGAGTCAGATAAATGAGATAGAAAAGGCAACCGGAGTTCCAATACCAGAAATAACACTCTGGTCCTCCGCAAGATTTCACACAGCTGTTATGCCTCTTTCGCCCGTTACAGTTCTAACAGCAAACTTGTCGCATTAATATCCGCACACTTCCCCTACGCACGACCCTGAGTGAGGACACGTTTGCTTTCCTCTATATTAAAAATAGTGTCGCGTGTGTAAGTTCAGTATTGGGTCCGCAGATGAATAGCAGATACTTCCACTGGATACGTAATTCATGTAATGATCTAGAGTTGTGGAGCAACTTGCACAAGCTTGACGTTTGAATGGGTTAATTTTCAGCACATCGGTAAGTTGCGCCTTACAGACTCCTCTGTCATCCGCGCAAGAGTAGACCGTCGACACGTTTGAAAGTATTTCAACTTGTTGACACCCTCCTGACTCCGTCATGACCCTTGTTGACATGCATAATATGGCCAGCAAATGGATGTGGTCTAGTGGACGACCGCGATTTCTGTTTTGTCGTCTTGGTTTTCGGAAAACGTACCTTACAAAAATTCCATACACCAAGTAATTGCGCTTGTAAAAATTTGTAAGGGTTTTCCCAGAGTGAGGGGCACGTACAGGAATACGTAGCAACCAGTGAAGATGAAGTAGAGAGCAGCGAAAGCTATGATAGCTCCAACAGGCCAACATCGGGGTTAAATATAACGATGGAGCAGAAAGTACAGTCGATCTGTTCGCAAGTATTTCCGCTGGGCATTCCGTTTCGACTAATGCAGTGGATCCGTTGTCGATGAATTCATATTGTGTTCGGTAGCTGTGAAGAGTGATATGTGGTGGAAACCCCACGGCCTCATTTGTTCTTAGGTCACTGTAATTTTTACAGAACGCTTCAACGCACACTTGATATGGTGCATGGGGTGGCGAAATTAGCTCAGCTCCTCCTCTGACGCAAGGATACGTTCGGTACTATGAATGGGATCTGGAAACTTCTGAGATAATGAGCCTCCTATTATTACCATCAAGAGTAAGAGAACGTTGACAAGTAGAGAGGGCTGTCTGTTCGAGCTGATAGCCATGATTCCCCTATAGCTACTTGTCGTTTAGGCCGCAAATTGCAGCGAGTAGTCACCCTGTCGCATTTGGACTTTCCTCGGAATCGTCATTGGAATTAGGCTGTGGAGTTGATTCTTTCTTGCTCTCCCGAGGTATGCTAGCGCCTTGCACCTGCGTGGTTTTGATCCAACTCAAGTGGGATGAGTAGGTTCATCGGTCGACGTATTTTTCGATGTGAAGGTAGCATCACCACTGCTTCGTGTATTACCCCGTCCGAATTAGCGACTAAGTCGTGAATTCTCCCTTCCATGAGTGTCGAATTTGGACTGGTTCACTGATCAGAACAACTTCGTCTTTTCGCGGTGCTATCTCTCTACCCTGTGGTATCATTTCGAACAGATTGCAGGCATTCCTCAAGAATAGCTTGCCCTAGCGAAAATTTCGGAGCGCTATCGCTTGTAATGGATTTCGGAAGTCCAATTCGCGCGAAGAAACGCCGAAGCATCATAAGGAACGCCGTTGTGGAAAGATCTGAAACGATGTCAGGGTGTATTGGTCTAGAGGCCATGCAGGTTATTATGCATCCGTAGCATTTTCCTTTTGAGCCATCGTATCAAAGAAGAGAAAGTGGACCAAAGTTCTAATCCGACATGTGCAAAAGATCGAGATCGATGAACCCTTCCCTCTGGCAAATCGCCTTGTTCCGGATATTTGTAAGGCAAGTTGTTGAAACGCTGACAAGCTACGCAGAGTCTGGTAATGTGCGTCACTTGTGCTCGTACTTTCAGGATCTAGTAGATTTGTTGTACAAGCAAAACGATGTGGCCTATTCCCGGATGTCCTCTGCTGTGAGAGCTCCTGATGATACGTTGGCTAACCCAGAATTTTCCAGTACTATTAATGGGTTTTGATTCGGTCTCCGAATCACTTTTCCCTAGACAGGTCCAAAACATCTGAGCAAACCGAGCAAACCGTTTGAATCCGCCTTGATGTTGAGATCCTTCAGGGACTGAAGGATTTCAGGAGTAATTGTCGACAGCTGATGCTGTTTCACAAGCATTTTCCTTGCAGTCGCTAATTCCGTGCCTGAGAGCTCGGTAACGTTGCCTACTGGTCCCTCTGGTAAAGAGGAAAGCCGGATTGGACTGCTAGCATATGCCCGAAAAACAAGTGCTCTGATGTAGCAAAGCAACAATCCTTTTCGCCTCTTCCAAAGAATACTTCCCTAGTGGGTAGAACAGGTCCCTTTGCTCGATGTCCGCTGAATCATCCTTCTTTATAGCAATGCCTCCTCATGCTCTGTGAAGATGTTCCTGACGCCGGCACCCTGTCCTGTGACCAATTTCTTGAAGTGAATTTCTACCTCAGAGTCTTCGAGAACCTAAACTTTTTAGGCCGCTGTTCTGATGGATTACGCAGGAATGACGGTAGCACTCACTAATAATGATCGACCAGCTCCCTCTAAGTGAGACCTCGGGTTGCGCAATCTGCTGGATTCTGAACAGCGGGAATATGGCCAAAAAACAGTTGTAGTCCCACGCCTTTGAGTGCTCTGTGCCCCTGATTTCTATCCAACGATTGAATTCGGATCCCTAGGGGTTTTCTTTTTGTCCAGCTCAGCACTATTTCCGAATCTGAATAGATGTAGACTGCTTGGATTTTCTACAGTGCGTAGTTGAGATAGCACCGCGTTAGTCAAGCGAAGGGCTCAAGTCACTGCATCCAACTATATCTTTGGTATTGTTACTGAGTTGTTCTTCATAAAAAGAAGTTTGTTCCGTGCCATGACGATATTGGAAGACATTTCCGTACGCCAGTAGATACTCGTGGCGATAGCTTCCGAGCTCGCATCTGGAACGCTGTGAGGCAACATACGACATTTTTGGCACAAAGACCTCGGGGAGGCGTCTTCGCAATTCTTGTAATTCGGAGAATATACACCTCCATGATTAGACGTGTGCAGGTGATAAATCCGCATCCCATTCGTACCCTTCTTTCCACAGAGTTTGGAGGAAACTTTTGGTCGATGGAGTAACGGCAATATCCAACCAAGTGGGTCGTATACTGACTCTAGCGTGTTCGCCACTGCTCTTTTCGTTACCTTCGTAGGACATCAGGACATTTCGGTCTGTACGCTATTTCAGAATAGTCTGACGGTGAATTCTATGAGATTCCTAATGCCTTGAACATTGTTTTCGTTGACTAGTCCTTCTTAGCTACCTGGCACATGAGTTCCGCACTGTTAGATAGCTCAAAGATTAATGTTCAAATCGTCGAAGACTTGTTTGGATTTGAATGAATATGCCCCGCAGTATCTATCCACCGTAAGGATAAGATTATCTACGTAAAGGTTGTCCCTGATGTCTCCCATGAGATGGATATCTTCCTGGTACTGATCGAGGTGAAAGTAGATTGTCCTGCCAGCGAAAACGGGGATGTTTTCAGGCGGAAGTTACTCTTGTGAAACGAAACGCTCGGATATTGTCTGCTGTAGGTGTCCTCTAATAGTCCCATAGCCATAAACAGCGGGTGTAGTCACGATCGTGCTCGTGGATGCAAAGTTGTAAGAATGCATTTTCTACTTCCGCCGCAATCGCTATACGTCCGATTCGGAATCTGAGAAGAACGCCGTATATCTGTGGGAGGATCACAGGGCCGCGGTGAAGAACATCGTTCAGTGAAGGGCATCCTCCGTAATGGGCGGATGCATCGAAAACAATTCGAAGTTTGGTGGTAATCTTGTGAGGTGTGATAACTGCTTGATGGGAATGTAGTGCACGCCCAGTTCCTGGTGGCGGTTCTGCTCTTCCAAGCTTTTCTTTTGGAGCTGCTCTTGAAATACTCCGTGGTACTGTGCTAGAGTTTTTCGTCTTTCTTCAGTGACTTCCAGAGACGCCAACGAGCCGATTGTGTGCTATGGCTTTATTATGGCGGAGACAGACCTTCACGTTTTTCCAAGGAAATCGTACGTAGTATCCTTTCTTCTTTTTCCGCATTTCCAAACTCTTCTGTTCCTTTGGACTTTAGTGACCAGTAATGGTACCATTTTTCGTTCTCTTCGTTGTCCGATAAGTCTTTGGGAAGAGGGCGGTATTGACATGTTCTTCTAACGTCCAGTAGCCATCCTACCTTTCTTCCTCGTCTTCAAGATTCTCTACCTGTGAAGACTTGTTCACTTGACCAGTCACCAGGTATCCTGAGCGGGTTGGTAGCAGGTGGAGTCCAGACAGAAGTTGCATGTGCGGCTCGTCAGTTTTGATCAGAGACCACAACTGATCGCAACAAATAGTATGGCCGGTTTCACCGTTGACCCTTCCTCGCTGAAGTTCACCTTCAATCTGTGTTCAACTATGAACTCTACATGTTCTGAGCATAAAACGGCTTAGTCAAAATCTCGTGTGTGTAAAGGGACGGCCTTCTGCGTCCCACATGTTAGATGGGACTCTACGTGATGTCCTTCCCTTTACCTGGTCAGAACCAAAGTGTGAAGTTGTAATCGTGTCTCCTTCAGCGCAAGAAGACGCAACTATGCGGCCAAATCTGTATCGATGGAAGAAATTTCAGCTCCTTATCTAGAAGGACTGGAATTTTCAATTCCTTCGCAGTTGGATCCATTACTCAGTTTCTGTGAACCAGGACAGTCACTTCCACTTTCGACTTGGAGAGTTCTCTACTCCTGCTGGAGGCCTCCCCCGTCTTGCTGTCGACTCTATTGCTGGAGACCTCCCTCGTCTTGCTATCGCCTCTTTCTCGGGTCACCTCTTTGCAAGCGTCGACGTATTGGAGCTTCTCCCTCCTCGAAAAACAACACGACGGTGGTGCCGCTTCTGCCACTTGAACATGGGTGTCTTTCGCACTCTGAAGTGGTGCGTTGCGGTGACGCGCATATCAAGCACAGCTTGTGCTCCCTCGAATACTGTGACCGCTCTTGCGTGTAGCGTACTTGCCACAGTCAAATGACAGGTGATTCCCTTTGCAGTACATGCAAGGCAAGCGTGGTGTAAATTTTGAGAACCGTGGTCTACTGTCCGTATCAGGTGACGCTACCAGTGTAAAATGATGCCATTTCCTCACTTATAATGACCTCGTCTAGAAAGCAGAAAAATGATCCATAGTGAGAGGAGCGTCCTTCAAAATGGCCTTCTTTTTCAAAAGGAATTGTCTTTGGACACTGTCAGGAACCTCGACAGTACCCGTTCGACTAGCCACTGACTATTTACATTTTCACCTTCCTGCACCATCTGCGAAATAATGTCCTTAGCTGCTGAATAATTTTCGCTGATCACGAATGGCGGTTGAACGAAGGAAACAGTTGTCCGGTTGATCCACAAGTCGAAACACGAGTCATTCCGTGCTGCCGTATGATTTCTTCAAGACGTCGAGTGCTTTTCCATAGTACCCACTTGTTACTTGGATTTTCTCACCAACTCCGAAGCTTCGCCTTTGAGAGCGGCCAACAAATAGTTGAACTTGTAGAGTTCCGGAGGCTCTGAGAATGGACAGAATTGAATAACTCCCAATTGTCCCATTCCCGAATTCCCTGCTAGGGTATTGGTTCCTTCTCCACATAAGTCCTGGTGGATGCATCTGTGCAGCTTGCGAATCTGGTGTCCAAGAGCGAAAGGCTCTTATACGTGTCTGCAGTACTGAACTGTAATCGAAGGCCATGGTCAGCGAGTCGAGCGCTTTAGAAGAATAGTTTTCGAAGTCTTCTATTTCCTTTGGATAGGGTTTGGTCAGACCACTAATTTCTTCGGCATAGTCACGCAGCTGTTATTCAATCCTTGATATAGCTGCGTCAATAGCTCCCGCCCCTTCTTCTAGACGCTGAAGGCTGGTTTGAAGGAATGTAGGTGTGATTTCTCCTTCCGCACTGGAGAAGTGAACTAATTCTAACTCCCGAGCCTTGAAACGAGTCGAGATAGTTTCCAGCTTACCGGAGTAATGCGTCAGAAGAGGTTTGGGGTGGCGAACTCGTTCGACATGGTGCCTAAACCTTGTGGATACCCGGTATCTTAAATCCGTTTGGTGCCCACTTGCGTAAGGAAAGGTAACTTGAAGCGGGAATACTTTGACCCCACCTTGTTTATCAAAAAAAAGTAAAGAATAGGCAAAAACAAGTAAAGAAAATGTAACTCGGAATTCAAGCCAACCTGGGTCCTTGATCGTGCCAATGCACGATATAGTGGCTTTCCAAGTCATTCCCTACTGCCACGCGGGTGTTTGTGGAATACAGATTTATTCTTTACTTGTCAGACAATCTTTCAGAGACACACCGACCGAAATCTCCCCACAGTATATATACAGAGCCCCTTTTATAATGCTTACATTTTCTAGATGGCTTCTCGAGATGAGCATGACTAGCGAAACATTACGATTCCCATATAACGATTCCTGTGATTAATCTATTACAATGAACTATATATAGAATAAACTACAAGCAATCAGTGCTACTAATAACAATCGCATCACTCGTCGACTTGTCGACAAGCCGTGAGACTTCCTTTGCAACTAGATGGGCTCCTTGCAGGTGGTAGCCTCCCAGACATCACGATTCGCGCCTATCGCTTTGTACAATGCTGTGTTTAATTAGAAGTCACGACCTTCCGAAAAGCCTTAAGGTAGCAACCATGAAAATAGGACGTTTTAATGCCGACACGTGACGCAGGTGGAAGAAACGCAACTGCTTCATGTTCGTTTGCAATTAGAGTTGTTATTCGCTTTTTCATTCAATGAAAAGAGGGGGGATCGTACTGACACCTCATTTTAGAGAGAGAGGTCGTACCGACGGGCAAATTTTCCTTAATGTCATGCCTGACCCTTCCAAGAACTGCTGTTTCGAAGCAGGAGATACGCGAACTGGAGAGGCCAGCGCTCAAAACTGTGCTGGTATACGCACCCATTTCATCAGCCAAAACGGAGGAACTGAGCATTTCTACGAGGTAACAGAAACGTCGTTGACGTCGAAATGACTTAGTACACTGGTCACGGATGCTGGTAACTGAGGAAGAGATGATACAGAAGACTGTCGGAAAAGATGGTATAATGACAGAGTAAAGCACCTGATTAGATTTTCAAGACAGCGCCGTTTTCAGTCTTGGATGCTCTCTTCCTAATTACGCAATGAGTCAGCGGACATGGATGCGAGAAGTATGAGTCAGGTCGACTGTATGTGACGGGTACACCAAAAGTGCTCAACGACGTCTCATTAAGCCTTGAAGCGAAGGGAGGTGGAGTGAGCATGACAAATACCGTTTCTACAAACTCACATGCTCCACGGTTCAATTCGATATTGAGGCAGCATTCATCGCGACAGCAGCGCTCATCGCGGCGATCGTCAGTACGCGACAGAGCGCGCCCCAACGCTATCACTTCGACAGCTCGCCTTGATCAATAAGGGAATCCAACTTGTGAGACCTTTTTTCTCTTGATAATGGCTAATGACTGGGAACTTACGACTTTCTGTACTTAAGAGAATCTGGAAGGGGAGGGTTTCACCTTTGTTGAGGTCGGAATAATGGCATCTTCATTTCCTGAGCGAGCTTCTTTTTGTTTCTTTTGTTTTCGATTTTTCCAATTTAGTGTTTTGTGTTTTGAAAGTTGCCTATTGGCTAGACTGTTCCAGCTACCCAAATAGTTATAGTTTACAAGTCGAGTTCAAACAACGAAAAAAAAATAAACAGATAGAAACCCAGTTAGGAACCGAAACACTCATTCTTTTATGTAACATCAAGGAGGAGGAAACTCAATGTATAGCTCGAAGAGTGAAACGAGAAGCAATAAGAAACTCACCCTGAGCCCTTACGCTTTTTGCTAACTCTATCCTGAATCAAAAAAGGCCCACCTTTTTTGAGTAAAACCAAGCTATAGAACCTGAGGCAATTGCAATTAAAAGAAAAAAGCATGAAATTAAGTCGATTCTTCCTAAAAGCACTCGGAGCGGTCCAAATTATAGCGTTGGGCGCGCTCTGTCGCGTACTGACGATCGCGCTGATCGCTACGACCCTCCGAATCCTCTCTAACGACCTCTCCCATATCAAAAACTGCAAAAATGCCCGTCAAAGAGATAGGATTTGCCCAAGTAATCAGCAGTGAGGCGAAGGTAGTATAGTGGCAGGTTTTCACGCTTACCACGATCTCTGGGTCAAATCCTGGGTCGGGTCTCGCACTGCTGACCAAGCTTCTACCTTCCGGAGACGGCAAATTGCCACCAGATCGTCTGGGAAGAAAAGGCACTGATTTGTGCATCCGCTGTTCCACGCAAGTTGCTGTATAGGACGAAGAGGACGCATGACATTCAATAAGCCACCAAGATCCTGAATGGAAGTGGAGTGGGTGCTGCATCCTAAGAAGGATTGATCGACGGCGAAGACTCTATCATTTTTTTAATTTAATTGCAGAGGCCTTTTTCTACCCTTCTGAGCCCCTTATAATGAAGTAGTACGGAATTCGTGAATGCTCAACATAACCGCTTCTTACCGACGACTGTGAATTTTTTTTTCGCGTGATACGCTCTATCACAGGAGTTAGCGGATGGAGTCATGAAACAAATAACAATGAGAACGGTTTCGAGATGAAGTTATCAAAAAAAATGGATACGCAAGCAGTTCACTCCAGAGGCAACTACAAAAAATGAGAGCGAATTAATTGAGGAAGTCAACGATTACATCTGCATGGGACATCAGCTCCGGAGAACACCGACGGCGAATTCAGCTTGTGAAGAAAAGCACTAGCTGGCAGCCTATCGGCGGAGATAAATATTACGACGCAGTGTAGCAGTAGGAGATAATGAGAAGCTTGCTGTGATTCAGATCAATAGAGCACAAAGGGTCACTTTTGTAAGGTGTCACTTCAACATTATATTCCACACGAAAAGTTGGAAGCCGAAGTGGGTCGAATTGTGTGGCCCAGAAACCGCATAAAAGAAAAAAAATGAGAATGGACCGGTTATGTTGCACGACTGATGAACCATAGATGGACGTCTCAACGACGTCTCAAACTGGATCCCGCTGGACCAGACACGATCCCAAAAAAAACTGAAAATGGAATTGGTCTAGTCATTACCAAAGATTCCCAATCGAAAACGGAGAAGACGCGTACGGCATCAAAACCGATAGTCTGAAATCGAACCGCGCGAGTAGCGAAGTTAGCGAGCACAAATCGGATCAAGGTAATTAAAGACACATAGTACGCTCACACACATTGAGGGTGTATGAGACTATCAGCCCCTCAGCTGTCGATATGTCGTGGTCCCCCCGCCCAAACATGCCCATGAATGGAGATGCAGGACCGTGGAACACGCTAGTTCCTCCATGCTCCGCCTTACACCTTTTGCGGCGCAGATTCCCGTCCTTCATAACATCCGTTGCAAGCGCGGGTGTCACGTGCGGCTCCTTGGCACTTTACCAAGTCCTTTAGTTGCGCTTTCAAATACAAGTAAAACGCAAGCAATTTCCTGATGCGGATAACATTGGAGGTGCTGCAAAATAAGAACAGAAGATGATGACGAGGGTCAGCACTTAAAAGCAACTGTGCCTGCAACATCCCTGGGAGGCCGCGTATTTCCACGAAACATGAGGATAAAAACGGCATACTCGTTAGTTTAATACAAGCAAAACGCAATTTCCTGATGCGATTGAAATTTTAGGTGTTGCTCATGCTTCAAAATCCATGTACAAGGAGATGAAGACGACACAGCTAGAAATGAAGCACAACGATGTAAATGTAAATAAAACAAAAATGAAAAAAAAACAAGAAAGGCAAATTAGTTAAAATCGCCTGTAAATTTCTACGATCCGGCGCGAATCCGGCGCCAAAGCCATAGAAATACTTAGAACAAGCGAGTGGAACGCTTGGATTGTTTTTATTCTCATGTTTTCTGGGAATCCCTCTGATGGATTCTGCAGATGCAGCCGAGTTGCTCTTGAGTTCTGGCCCTTGTCATCATCTTCTGGTCCTATTTTGTAGCACCTCCAATGTTATCCGCCATCAGGAAACTGCGTTTTACTCGTATTTGAGAGCGCAATTAAAGGACTTGGCAAAGTGCCAAGGAGCCGCACGCGACACGCGCGCTTGCAACAGATGTTATGAAGGACGGGAATCTGCGCCGCAAAAGGTGTAAGGCGGAGCATGGAGGAACTAGCGTGTTTCACGGCCCTGTATCTCCATTACAGGGCATGTTTGGGCGGGGGACCACGACACATCGACAGCTGGGGGGCTGATAGTCTCATACACCCTCAATGTGTTCGAACGTACCATGTGTCTTTAAGGTACTTTTAGCCATGTGATGATATCTATTTCGATTTTTTCGAAGCTTTCAATAGAAGAGATCATTCCAGGTATCTGAATAGGCAGGTCCTATTTAAGTTCGATCCGATGTGTCGGTAAAAAAGACCCGTTTGTGGTCCCAAATTGATTCAATGTTTTGGATGTTGAAATTGTAAAAGGGTAGAGTTTCTCAAGTGATGCTTAATATGAATTTTCTTGCATTTAACACCGCCGAACTCTAAACTTCTGGAAATCTGCATTCAATGTGTTGATGACATAGAAATATCAAATGCAGATTGCCAAAAATTACGGGCGCGTGGACCTATCAGGTTGGACTGAAAGTCCTGCGACACATTGATTGAACTGTACTAGAAAAGACATTTTAAATGTTTTCATCCCTG